ACACACACAAAGAGAGAGAGAGAGAGAGAGAGAGAGAGAGAGAGGCAATGGAAGGGACGGATCTTCTCCTCTCCAAGTGCAACGGCAACCGGTCTTTGATCATTAGGGAACATCGCATCAACCAAGTGGGAAAGGGATCGAATAATAGCAGCCGTAAGAGAACTCAGAAGAAGATTAGCGAGAAACCAATCAAATCCAAGAAAAGGTCGAGACTGCCTGATTCCTGTAAGTTCAAGAAAAATTCCTTTTTGCAGATTGTAAGAAACCAGAGATTTTGCTCACCTGCAAGTGAGATTTCACATGAGCCAAGGTGAGATCTTTCACATCCATGAGCTCAAGAACTGACTTGGGCGTCGCTCCTAAGCTCCAAGACAGTCAAACATGCGTTGGTCAGAAATCCCTTCATCGATCTGAAACGAATAACTGAGACAAGAAGGCAACGGGAAGTGGAGAGTACTCTCATGGCCTCCCAGTAGCTCCACGGCATGGACGAAGCGGGCATGAAGCGTGGAGGTCCACCGCATCCTCGGTGCTCTCGTGCTCCGTTTAGCTGAGAACCTCGACGGCAAGAATCTCAGTCTGGACAAGCTTTGTGTTGTGGCGAAGGGAGCGAAATTGGAGGTGGAAGAAGAGTCACACAAGTGCTGCTGCTGACGCAGTGGGACTACAGGAAAGGAAGGTGGGTTGTGGTAGACCGGGATTCCCCTTATGGGCTTCAGCAAGCCGAGGTCTTCGTGATAGTCTTCTGATAGTAGTGGGTGGTGGTGGTGGTGGAAGTGGAGATGGTGATGGTGGTGGCGAGGGTGAGGGTGGAGGCGGGGAAGCAGGCTGTTCCTTGAGTCGCCGGAGTAGGTGGCACTTGGGTTAGCTAAGGAGAGAGTGATGTCGTCGGCCTTTGCCGTGCAAGGGTTGGTGATGTTCTTGTTGATACTCTTGCTGGTCGAGTCCAATGACCTCCTCCAAAACCCTAAGTCGATGCTCTCATCAGGCTTCCTCCATGTTGATGCTGGCGTGGTGTTTGGTGGGCTGATTTGGTGCGTTAAATCTGGCTGTGTTGGGAAGAGCTCCATTTGTGCTAACCTTCAGATCTCTTCTTCTTCTTCTTCTTCTTCTCCTCCTTCTACGATTCCTCCTCCTTCTCTCTCTTTCTTTCTCCTCCTCCTCCTCCTCTTCCTCCTGCTTCTTCTTCTTTTTCTCGTTCTTTCTTCTTCTCCTTCTTTTCCTCCTCCTCCTACGATTCCTCCTTCTTCTCTTTCTCTTTATTTCTTCTCGTCCTCCTCCTCCTCTTCCTCCTCCTGCTTCTTCTTCTCTTTCTCGTTCTCTCTTTCTTCTTCTCCTTCTTTTCCTCTTCTTCCTCCTCCTGCTTCTCCCTCTTCTCTTTCTCTTTCTCGTTCTCTCTTCTTCTCCTTCTTTTCCTCCTCTTCCTCTTTCTCCTCCTCCTCCTTCTTCTTCTCCTTCTTCTTCTTCTTCTTCTTCAGCTTTTATCTATCTGCTGTGGTAAATGTTGAGGTAAACTTGGGCGTACTTGTTGGACGATCTGTGGAATAAGAGGCCTGTTCATATGGGTATGATGTAGAGGAATTTGTCTGGGAATGATGGCGGTGTAATGACAAAAGCTTCTGATGTCTGGGTTGTATGCAGTGTTAGCATGGAAAGTAAAAAAAACATTGTGGGGGTAAACAAGCATGATTTGAAGACAAAGTCAGTTTCTTGCTTTCCACAGGTTACTATGTCCCAGAAAATGACACTTCATTGGGTGTCTCTATATGAGTGATATGGGCTTCATGATCATATTCCCTTTCACTTGTTTCCTTTATGAATTATATGAAAGTGAACCCTACTGTTCATGGATTACTATTGCTCCCAGCCAAACTGCACCATTCAATTGTAATGCTTTTCACATCATTTCTCACTGATAATTTGGAAAATTGGAGATCCTCCTCATTGTGATAAATTAGACACATTGATCATGAAAGAGAAACAAACACCTGCCAATTTTGTTCCTTCTTTTTTGCTCTTAATCATCAGCTATTTTGCCAGCAAAATTCACATACTTCAATGAGAGACTGGTAGGTGATTCAGAAAAGTGGTTCTCAGAAAACTTTTAGGAAGAAAAGGCAAACTGAAGGAAGAAAGGAAAAAGGGGGTTCATGAAACTAGTAAGTAGAACAACTAATATTCTTTGGTGCCATTGTCTTATGGACTCCAAGAAGACTAGGAAGCATGCATGGTTAAACTGTTCTTCCAATCATTTTACCTGCTATAATCCTGCAAATTTACTGTCTTATGGGCTCATAGTTGACAGACCTTAATTTACTGTAGTACAAAGAAGAACAGTTCTTAAATTGCCTAATGAATTATATTTATATATATAAATAAATAATATTATAAGCATCAATAACTTTATTTGTAATATTATCCTCATGCTCTAAAAAAAAATTTTTTTGTTCTTTTTTTTAATTAAGACAGGCATCTCTTGCACATCTTTTGTGTTGTGTTACATATCTTGCATAGAGTTTGGATGTGTGAGTAAAATATATATAAAATTATATAAAAATAAGCTTTGCGAAGAACTCCATTTTAAATGTCTGATTCTTCAACAAAAAATTCTTCTTTTCTATAATCACTTGATCCGACTTGCTATGAAAATAACATATGCAAGAAATAATTACTTCTAGAAGAAGAAAATAAATCTTGAAAGAGCCAGAACCCTAGAAATTTCCTTTTAATATTGTTATGGTGTGTACATATATATATATATATGTTGATAGTTTTGAGATCAAACAAGATATCATTTTCTTTGGTTTGTTCAAAGTCTGGAAATTTAATAGCTCCATAGTCATGTGAACAGTGTGTTAAAAGCCAGTTGCCCATACTTTAAATGAGGATTGCTGATAGGTGGTCCATATCAGTCGGTGCAACATCAGTTTTACCTGAGATGATAAAAAAAGAAAAATCGTTCTTTTGCATACATACCTCTTTGATGTTTGTAAACACACCCTTTGAAAGTTCATATTCTTTATATATACCGTTTATGTAGTCTTAACTCAAAAGTTCATGTTTACGCTTGAGAAAGAGTTTTGGGACTCTACACAGACATAGGACTGAAGAAAGAGTACAAAAAAAAAAAAAAAAAAAAAAAGAAATTCATATGTAATCAATCCTACATAATCTTGAATATTATCATAGATCAAATATTATAATGTGAGCAAAAGTTCATAAATTTATAGAGATATATTATGTAAAAACAGAATATATTGTGGCTTTGTCAAGATCATACAAAGATGAGAATAGAGAAGGCTAATTTTTGTTTTATGACAGTATGAGTAAGGAAATAATTAAAATTAATTTTATTAATTATATAAATAAGTTAGAAATTTTATTAATTAATTTATTTCCAGATAAGTGATATGAATTTTAGAAAGTAAATAGTTTAAATTTTATTTTTAAGTTTGAATTATAAGAAATAAATATTATAATCATATCTTTGTGTGTATAAAAGTAAAATAAAAATAAAATATAAATATAAATTAATTTATTATTTATTTTTTGGGGAGAGTTCATCGTCTCCTGTGCTCCTCCCAAATTGCTTGAGAGGATTCCCAATGAGAGATAGGACTATTTATTTTTTAAATCAATTTTGATTCATGTATTGAAATTTTTGATATTATGATTGTTAAAATTTTATGATTCCTAAGGAGGGATAGGGATAGGATCATTATTCTTTTCTAATTAGCTTTCATTCATGAAATCTTTGATACTATGATTATTAAAATTTTATAATCTATAATAATATTTTAATTTTAAAATTTATAATTAATAAATATTGATAATTGATTTGTAACGTTAGAATGATTGTTTGATGATCTCTTAAACTTAAATAAATTTAAAAATAAATTTAATTATTAAAATTATTAATTTTAAATTAAAATAATAGTTCTAGTTTATTTAATTATATATATATATATGTTTTAAGAATTATATATGAATTTATATGATTTAATTAGTTTTAAATTTAAGAACATGAAACTAAATTATTTAATTCATGGATTTGAGTTTTTTTAATAATAAAAAAATATTAAAATCTAATTTAATAAAATGGGTCAAATTAGGGGTATAACTTGAGTTAGGTTAATTGATTAGACTAACCCATCTAGTCATATACAACATAGCATATGTGATCATGCATAACATAACATATGTGATTAGATATAGTTTAACCAATATGGTTAGGCATGGCCTAATCTATATGGTCAGATATGGTCTAACCAATATGTCTAAGTATGATATAACCCATGTAGCTAAGTACGACTCAACTCATATAGTCAGACATGACCTAACCTGCGAGCCAAATATAGCCCAATTTAATGATAAGACTCAACCTAACTCGTGAAGCTAAACTTGTTTAGTTATGCAATTAGTGCTAGACACATTATCATTTCTCTATCCAGTCAATTGTACCTTAACCCAACCTGTTACTTGGGGTTATGTATGAATGAATAAATACAAATGAATGATTATGATTATTTATATATTATTACTGAAAGCATGTAAGGCGATTCCCTTTAAAGTTTAGTGAGTCATTGGATGTGACAATTAGACGATTCCTCCATTTGTTGTTGAGAGGAACATATCTTCACTTGAACGGGTGAGCGAGATCACTCCATATGCTATTGAGGGTGCAATATGGTTTCTCTCCATCCGTCGTTGAAAGGAATCCATCCTATAAAGTATTTCTTTTTATCCACTATTGGGAGAGTGTCATCGAGTTTGATGTATACCTTTGTTATTTTACTATTATGTATGTCATCAAGATGTATTACATGTGACACCTGTACATTATTTTGTCTACTATATTAAAATTATTATTATTTTTTATATATGAGTTTCACAATACATTGATTTGTTTTATTTCATATTAAATTATTGATATTTATATATATTTCATGAAATTATTTTTATGATTTTTTAAGATTCCTATCAATATGTTTTTATCTTATATTTTATTTTATTGATAATTTTTTGAAGGTTCTTACCAGCAAAATATTTGAAATTATTTTTATTAACATTTGTTGCTAACATATTTTTATCTTATATTTATTTTTAGAGTAATATACTAGGAGATGTGAGACCTGGGTTGAAGAGATTTTTTTATCACTTGTTGTTCTACCAAGAACAACAAGTTGGAGATTTGAATTCGAAATAAATTTTTTAATAAATTATTAATATTAAAATAATAATTTATTTTTTTATATAAATATGAGATGTGATAGTTGGAGATTAAATTACTTCGTAGGAAAATTTCTCAATGTCTTTGGAACACCATAAAATTGTAATTTTGCCAATAGTTGATAAAAATTAAGTGGATTAAACTATTACCATATAGTAAGAAAAGGAGGATATGAATAACTGGATCCATGAAAGTAGCAACATCTGCATTAGTCTCAGGCTTGTAGGTGGCTCGTAACTTTTATTTGCTATTACCTATTGTCTAATCCTATGTCCTTACATAACTTGAGAATTCCACTTATGCTTCAACGTTGATTAAGTTAATTTCTTTGAAATATATTCATTTACTTTTATCGTTTATGTGAAAGTCTCTGTCCTTTTTTCTTGAACCAAACTTAAAAGGAGTATAATATGGACAAGACAAAACTTACTTGTTTCAGTCAGATATTTTCATTATAACATATACTTTATACACCTCATCTCATCTTTCATATCAACTCAATTCAACTCCTATCCATAACTCTTCATGACCTCACAAATATATCTAATTCACTACAATGAATATGAACCACATTTGTGTGGAGACTTTTCTTCTCTCAAGAACCAAACTTAAATCATGAAGAAGTTGATGCACAGATGCTTGTGGACCAACTTGTCAGTATAAGAGTCTCTGGTTGGTGATTTCTTGACTTAAATTGCATTAAGATTGATCTTGTTGAAGAGTAATGGCTTTGCCTTCAACACTAAGTGGGCCTTGTGAAAGGCCAGTAAACATACGCAATGCATCAATATATGGGAGACTCTGTGCATTTAATACCTTGTCATTTGTTGAGGGGAAGCTTCACCAAAACACTGTTTCCACATTTCATACGTACAGACATTGCTCAAGACCGATTCAGACACTGCGATGTGTTACTTACTCATCAGACGACACTCGTCTTCCTGGAAGGTGATCTTCGATCGCCATAAAGTT